CCCTGGGGGTGACGTAAGCTGTTTAGTTCAGAAGTTCATACAGAAACTAGAGTAATTCCTTGTAGACCAAAAATTGGTGGAACACTAAGGAAAGCTGCAGGATACTGTCTTTAAACCTGATGGTTTCTGCAGGAAGCTTATCCACGGAGTGATTCCCTGTGAATACAACTTCAAACCAGAAACATCTCAGGAGGCCAAATGCTATCTCTGACCAGGGCAATCAGTGCAGTTTTCTGAATCACCTGGGGGAATAATATTTATGTTATATATGTCATACCTCTGCATATGCCTGTACAGAGATATTGGTCATCAAATGAATAATTTTGTTTTGTTCAAGGTCATTTCATTATAATATTGATGAGAAAAAGCCAGTTGACTTGCAGCACCCCCACATGGCCTGTGTCGAGCTGGCACGTCCACCCCATGACTGTGTGGGTGTCACTGGTCCTCCCACATGCTAATGATGTGCATATGGGGATTGCTACAGTGCTTAAGTTGTCCCAGTCAGAGTGACATGCATGTGCATGTGAGTATGCCCTGAGATGGAAGGGCAACCTGTCCAGGCTCACCTCTCACCTTGCTTCCTGAGCTGCTGGATAGGCCTGGCCTACCCGTGACCCTAAACTGGAATAAGGGTCTGAAAATGAGTAAGTGAATGAATGGATGAACACAAATAGCTATTAGATACAAAAAGTATTTTTCATCATTTAAAAAGGTGATGATTTTTGTGAGTAGACATTCCTTTTTTTTTAAAGAAAAAAATAAGATTTTATTTAATTATGCATACAAGAACTAGGTTGTAGGCCAGAGGTGTGTGGGGTGGGGTGAGAGGGTTCACCAGACACAGAGTGGGGACCAGGACAGGTGGATCGACTGAAATTCACTGCTGAGGGGAGCAGTGACACGAGAGGGCTATACCATGTGGGTCATCTCCCTGGCTGGTGATCAAACTCATGCCACAGTGGCTGCAGATACTTTCAAAGTGCTGCACTTTAACCCACTGTGCCACCAGGAAGGGCCCTGAGTAGACATATTCTGTTGGTTTTCAACTCTGGTTTCTGTTAATTAATCTTATAATAAAATTGGCCTGTTATATATTGTTTTGCTGAAAGTCAGAGTTTCCAAGAGCCTGTTGGAGATGTTAAGTGAGGGCTTACTGTATAGATATCTAAAACAGCACATAAAATACATTTGCCTGTATACATATGCATATGCCTGTGTGTATATGCATATGAATGTGTATGTGTATAGATGGATATATATATTGTATATTACACAGATCAGATTGCCTCAATCCTTGGATGCCAATAAACTACAAGTACCTTAAGGATCCTTGTTTTCTGAAACAAGGATCTATGGGCCATGGAGATAAATGACATTTGGAAGTATGAAATTTAGTTTGGTATTGGGAAATGAAGAAACTCATTTTTGTCCTTTTCAATGAGAACCACCACCCGTATGGGAAGATGAGTATATTGGGATAGCAAATAAAATAAAAATGAACTTGAATCCTAGGCACAGATAGATTTCATATTCTTTCAATGGGGAAACTGAGCCTTTGCTACTTCAAAAAAAAACTTTCTTATAATTGCTTATACCTCTGACATTCCTAGAACAAGAGTGTCAAATAATATAAAGCCAAGTAGGAAGTTTTTAAGTGCTAGTGGCAAAATAAATACATAGGCTTATTAATAGATAATTGCATGAAGGTGGGAGGCTTAAGGTGAAGATGTGATGGGGTGTCCTTCACCTGGTGGTATGCTGGTGAATACTTTACAACTGGATTTTCAGGGGGAAAATGCATATCCAGACACACCAGTTTATAATAATTCTACTAATACAAAGGCTCTGTAATTTATAAATAATAATAAAATATATGATACTGTTATGATTAATTACATATATAGTCAATTGAATCTCATGGACTAATTTTTTCCCCTTTAGTTTAGTTGAGGTATAACATAGAAATTAGCCTATACAATTTTCTTCCTTTTTCTTTTTCCCCCCACAAAACTCTTGTGTCTAGGTAAACTGTTGAAGTTCAACCACAATATATGTGGATTTTATCCAATCTGCAAGTTCTTCCAAATACACTCATTAAATCTTCTAGATGATATATTGTTGAATTATTTCTCACTCACAGATTATATATATTAAACTGAAACCACTTGCAACTTCAGCACATTTTTTAGCTTTCTGTATTTATAATTAAAAAACAATAAAATTAATCACTTCATAATTATTTCACTGCATGCTATCAGCAGTTATATTCTTGAGGTGATTTATGTCTCTGTAACCATTTGGTAGAAATTCTACATGAAGCATGCCATTGAGTATTTAACTGTGAATTCAGTGAATTCATGTTGGAAGTTTTTAGTCTCAAAAAATGCCAATGCTACAAACTTGGGCTTGAGTTATTACCATTAGATCATCATCTGAATCTACATTAGTATCCACAAAATGCTTGAACTGTTCAAATTAACTTCATGTTAGTGACATTTGCAATGCCACATGAAGATTTAACCGTTTCTGATACTAACATACTTATTTTACATTTAAAATAATGCTGAGTTAAAACATTCCATTTCCAGTTATGTTATCCATGTGTTTTTCTATTTCTCACAAAATCTACTCTGAGTTTTAAAATTGTTATCACCACATCACCCTAGTGCCACAAAAATCAGGCTATAAGAATGTTTTATTAATATCAAGTTAAGGGAGAAAGTCATAAACGCTATCAATGGGGATTATAGTCCTAATATAATATGACAAATTTTTTAAGTGTAGGAAGTTATTAGCTTTGTTTTGGCTGGGCGGTATTAAAGCCTCCAGGGCCCTCTCTGGTGGTGCAGGTGGGCTAACATGCAGCACTGCAATGCTATCCATAGCCACTGCAGCATGAGTTTGACCCCAGCTTCACAGTATTATATTGAATGAAATAAACCAGGGAGTGGGGGGAGTGGGCGGAAGTGAGTGTACATGACATGATTCAATTTCTGTAGACTTTTTAGAAAATTCAGGATAATCTATATCAGATGAAGCAGATCACTGATTGCCATGAAAGAAGAGCAAAACTCATGGGGGAGAAGGTGGGAGATGCCATAGGGAAGGATTACAAAAAGATAGGAGAGAACTTTTAGAGAGTAATAGTCATAGTTCAATGTATGTCAGATATACTTCAAAAAGCTCTTTAAGAAAAAAAATAACTAGAAATACGAGGAGATATCAAAGGCCACACTCTGAATGTAACCTGCAAATCAGTAGGATAATTTTCACATAAAAAGAAAGTTGTGGGTCCTTCTTGGTGGTACAGCGGGTTAAACCACAGCACTGAGAAGCTAAAGCCACTTCGGCATGAGTTCGATTCCCCCCTGCCCCGGAGGTGACCACATGGCGCGGCAGACCTCTCCTGACCCGCCCACTGCTCCCCTCAGCAGTGTACTTCGTAGTTGGACTGTTCTGCTCCCCACTCTGTCTCTGGTGAATCCTCTCATTGCCCCTGCACCTCTGGCCTGTACGCCAGTTCTGTATGCATAAATAAATCTTTTAAAAAAAAGAAAGTTGCAATTATGTGTATATGAACTCCTCTTTGAATAGTGTTTTCATAATGTAACTTAGATGACATTTAATGTGAGAAATACTAACATAGTAGTTGGAACATAAAAAGAGGAAGGATGGTCTTTAGGGCTATTTTAAAGGTAAATTTCGATATGTAAGTGGGAATAGACAGACTCGTGCTCCTTTGTCTTTTTTTAATGTCTACTTATAAAGGTCATATAGATAAAGAATGAATGAGATAAAGAATGAATGAATGAGAAAAAGTAGGATCTGAGGACAGCCCACCTCGGTCACCATACAGTGTCATGAAAATGAAAATGAAGAAAAAGAGCTGGAGAGGACCCAGTGTACTTTGTAAAGGGCAATCCCCTATCCAGACATGAACCCTCAGCCCTTTGGGAAAAAAAATATGAATAATGAAACCACTAAAATAAAGAGATGCTAAGAAATCATGCCTGAGTTTATAACAATTGTATACTACCGGGTCTAGCAAGCACTAATATTTAAAAGTTTACCCTAATCTTGTTTATTAACAGGTTTGATTTATTAGTGATATAAGTAGTTATATATTTTGAAACTTTTTCTTGAAAAAGTATACATTTAATAAATTAAGCACTCAATATTGCACAAATATTCTAATCCTATACACTGTACCACACAAAATTCCCTTGAGTATTTAAGGTACTAATATTCCAAGAAGTAAAGATTTGTTTTAGGCCCTCTTATATGCAAAAATGTGTAGAACTTTGTAGAAACACCCGCAACTCATGGCCAAAATCAACATAGGATTAGAACTGTATCATCACACTATGCAAACTTGGTTCACAATTACTAGTGACACATGAATCAGCAACACTCACAGTGGGTCAAACAGGGAAGCAGGATGGGAATCAACAGGCCAGCAGAAGCCAAGTCTCAAATGCAGTAGAAGGTCCAGTAAAGCACAGCTCTGAGCAGACCCCTAACTGGGGGATTTCTAAAGATGATAACAATCGAGGACCTGCTGGGCATGACCAATCTTGAATTCTTACAATCCTCGATAAAGTTTCTGCTGCTGCTGGGATTATTACTATCAGCAACAGATGGGAAACTGAAACTCACACTTAAGCTACTGTGGTGTTTGGGCGCATTAGCTAAATCACAGCCTGCAGTTGAACTTGGAAGTCACTAGCTCCAAAACCAGCACTCTTAAAGTATACACCGTGAGCACTCCAGATCCTAAACAGAAACAGTTCTAGACCTCAAGTACCGCATACCTGTTGCACTGAGCCAACAGCGGCAAACCATCCCCCCTATAGCCCATCCTGATGAAATGGCCTGGCTTTTGTTGGCTTGGTACCCTCTGTTTATGTGATTCAAGGAGTCTGTTTCTCTTGGCTGACATCCATGGATTACATATTTCTCTAATAGGCGAGAAACAGTCATCAGGAGAGAAGAACAAAATGGCCTCCCTCGTAGAGTTGAAACCCACAGCAGAGAACAGTAAGTTCTCCCAAGATATACAAACAGAGAAGAAGCTCAGAAAAGGTAAACACAACCTCAACTCTTTTTAGGATTTTAGGGTTATTTTTTATCTGCAATGTTTTCCTACAAAGATATGAATTTATATCTTGCAAGTTGTTCAGTTCTCTTAAAGTATCAAGTAATATAAATGTACATTTTGCAAATATAGGAGGGCAACAAATGCCACTATACTAAAAACAGTCTTTCATTTTAGTTTGTGTCCATATGTATTTTCATTCATGGTAACTGCTACCAAGTTGTCTCAATTTAATATTATATATATATACTTGCATTATTTAATTAGGTAAAGAAAAATTTAATATGATCTACATATATTCCAAACTGCTTTATGATACAACTGTTATTCTTAAATGATACATATTATCCCCAAATATGTACTTGATACAATAATACTTACTTGAAGAATATTGTGGCTGGATATTTAGTTGAAGAGTTCTGTTTTACTAATTAACTAACTTTTGTATGTAGGTACACTCACATGTATATATGCATATAAAACAGTTCAATATATTTATACTAAAGTAAATGGTACTCTGTGATATATACGGACATATTTTAACATACTGTTTGTCTACAATTGGAATTATCATTTCCCCAGGGTTTATTACTAACAAGTTAGTATTTTGAAGCAAAGGATAAAAATATTGCCTTTTCTTTGGCCACTATAGAGAAACTTTGGTGTTTATCTGAACAAAAGTGAAGCCACATAGAGAATTTTGAGCAGAGAATATGATCTAACTTATGGTATAACTAGAGTACTTCAGTTGGTATATTGAAATAGATTGGAATCAGGAAGTAAAAAATCCAGACATTTTGCTAACTAAACCACTTGGAAGTGGCTCTAAACAAAAAGATAACAAGAACCCTGTTGAGAAGTGGTAGGACTCTACATACTTTTGAATGTAAACACCCCACTATGTTCCAGATCTGCTGAATATAGAGTGTGAAAGAAACTAACTAAGGGAAATTGCAAAATGTTTGATACGATGATATTTCTATCGACTGAGTTTGGAAAGAATCTGAGTAGATCAAGTTTGGGTTGGAAAAGTTTAGATATTTAACTTCAAGTCCATTACATTTTTTTTTAGAAGAACAAAACATAGTATATTAAAAAGCAAAGCCAGCTTCAATTAGATAAATGAAGTATTATTATATCTTGAAACTTTTAAAATTTTAAATGAGATATTGCTCTAAAATTATTTTCCCAAACATTAAAGTTATTTCAGCATATTTACTATATTATTTAGTTTTTCTCCTCCATTAACTGCTACAACATCCTTTACATGTTCTATTTTTTTTAAATATTTTTCTATTGCTTCTTCAATTTTTATGCTTATTAGGTTTTCAATATAATGATACTTTACTCCCATGACAAATTTCAATGAAATGTAACATAAGTATCTTTTAATACTTGCTTTTTCCTACTAATATGTTCAACTGGTCCTTATTATTTTTGTTAGCTGTAATTACTTTTCTGTTTCTTCACACACATTACAATAAACTTGATGGCCTACAATGACACATACTTATTACAGAGTTTTTCGATGACTCAAATCTACACATGCCTTGGCTTAGCTGTTTTTTCTTTTCTGGGTCTGTAGTAACATGCTTGGCCAGATGGTGTTTTCATCTGGGGCTAGAATCAGGAAGAAGCTCATTCTAAGCTCATTTAGCTTGCTGGTGAAATTGGACTTTTTTTCAGATACACACTGAGGAGGCTGGATTTTAGCTACACACAGTTCCTCACTGTGCGAGCCTCTCCAATCTGCTTACTTCACCACATCTACAAGAACACTGTCTAGCTGAAGTTCTCTAAAATGGAATCACATGTAACAAAATGTAATTATGAGAATGGCATTATCTTTACTGGCGATAAACAAATCATAGGTCCTTTTCCTCCTCAAGGAGAAGGAATTACACCAATTTGTGAGTACCATATCATGGGACTCACTGGGGATCACCTTAGGATCTGCTTGTCACATCAGTTAAAAAAGTCCCCTGGACTTTGACTAGAATAGTGTTGAATATCTCAATTTAACTTTCCAGTTTCAAAAGTCAATGATTCACAGTGTCAATCAATGCTCTCTTCAGGTGGTTAAATATTATGCCTTTGGGACATTTATTAATCCACATACTCTTTCTTACACACACACACAGTCCCACATTCTTATGTAGCTAGGGGCCAGTGAAATACTTAACAGCATTGGCACCAACCTAGTAAAGTAGACATGACAGGAACAATTCATTTGGAATAGACACAGCACAAATAATTTTTAAGAACACCTGGGCCCTCTCTGGTGGCACAGCGGGTTAAAGCACAGCCTTGAGAAACTAAAGCCACTTCCGCATGAGTTCGATGCCTGCCCCGGAGGTGACCACATGGTGTGGCAGACCCCTCCTGACCTGCCCGCTGCTCCCCTCAGCAGTTGTACTTCATCAATCTGCCAGTTCTTCTCCCCACTCTGTCTCTGGTGAATCCTCTCACCCTCCGCATCTCTGGCTTGTACCCCAGTTCTGTATGAATAAATAAATAAATCTTAAAAAAAAAAAGAACACCTAAATCAACCTGTGGGTAACATTATATCCAGCAATCATGGGGTTAAGTCTTTTAAAATAAATCTTCTAGTTTTACTTTCAGCAAGCTCACTAAGACAGGTGTTCACCCTCTTCATTTGTGTGACATTAGCCTCTTGGTTTGCTAATATTTGCTTTTAGTAATCTTTGGCCTCTGGGATCTCAAGTCAATTTAGGGAAATCAGAGACCTAGGAACCCATAAATTGTTAGTTAATTTAATTGACACCGTCACCACCCATGCCTGAGGGAGGGAAACCCTTCACAAAGATGTTCTATTTGATCCTCACTCTATTTACAATATATTCTCAGGTTTCTCCCAAATTCTTCTTCCAAGCCTCTCACTCACTACACTTCTTTTCAGTGCACTCCATTTAAAAAGAAAACAATATGTGTTTATTTATTTTTAAAAGAAAGCAGTATGACCTTGAGAGGAAGCCTCTTCAGCCTGTTTGTTAATCTCAAGGAACCTCTTTCAAAGCTTCCAGCACTTCTTGATGAGTCAAGGTGTTGTCCTCTTCTCCAATACCACAGATAGGTGTGTTTGGGTTGTAGCAAATGTGGTATCATGGAACAAGATAAACACCTCCATATTCATGAGTTACAACAGTTAGGAACATAGCCAATGAAACTCTCTCAGCTGGTCTTTCCACACCGTGTTTCCTAATCTATAAAATGGAGATAACAGTAGTAGCTGCCTTGTAAGATTTATGTAAGGATTAAATGAATTGACTCTCAGCCATCATAGTAAATGACCTTTCAGGGACATCTGACACCCTGACTTCCTGGACACCATACTTGCCTGGTTTCCTTCCTAGCCCACTAGCCAGTCCATTTAATTTTCTTTGCTAGCTCCTCCCCACTCATTTATACTTTAAAGACTGGAGAATTCCATTCTCTTCTCTATTTATTCTCACTTCTGAAATATATTAGTTTCAAGTGTCATTGTAGGTCATTAACTTCCAATGTTATGGCTCAACCCCTGCCTCTCTTCTAAACTATAGATTTGTATATACAACAGGTGTTTCTTAACACCTTCTCTGGTGTCCAAAATGCACCTCCATTTTAATTCTCCATTGTAAGTTTTTATCATTCCACTCCCCCAAATTTTGTTCTTTGTATAGAACTTCCTTTCTTAATGAGCAGCAAATCCATTCTTCTAGTTTATGAGAACAAGAATCTCTCCCATCCCCTCTCTGCCTTATAAAATTGAAACACTGGCATAGTGTTACTCCTGTGTTGGAATTTGTCTGGGATCAGATCACATCTTCATTCTCCTACTTCTATACCCTAGTCCAAGTTTCTTTGCTTCTCTTCTTTGCTTCTTCCTGTCAATAATCACCTTTGCTGGAAATACAAAGACAGATTACTTGACTGCTGTGCTCATTCTCTTTCCTCCATTTTTTTCACTGTATTGTTTCATAGTTTGTGGGTATTAATTTTTCTTCTGAGAAAATCTTGCTAGAGGTTTAACTTCAATATAAATGAAAGACTGTCCTCAATACCTGAAGATACAAGAGAAGAATAGTCATTTACACCAATGAACAACTAACTCCTTTAATACTTGTTATATTATATGTGTAATGTGCACATATTTCATATGTAAATTATAGTATATACATAAGTCATATAATTTAAATATGCACACATTTTTTGTATGTATATTTACTTTAAAAAAGATTTATTTATTTACTCATACATATTTACTCATACAGAACTGGGGTACAGGCCCAAGGTGCAGGGGCAGTGAGAGGCTTCGCCAGACACAGAGTGGGGAGAATAGGCAGATGGAAGAAGTACACCGCTGAGGGGAGCAGTGGACAGGTCAGGAGAGGTCTGCCGCGCCATGGAGATCACCTCCGGGGCTGGGGATCAAACTTGCACTGAAGTGGCTACAGCTAGCTTGCAGTGCTGAGTCCTAACCCATTGCGCCACCAGGGAGGGCCCTATGTATATTTACTTTTAATATACATGTTATATACCTACATCAACATATATGTTTCCTTGTGAGTAATTTTGTTAACTATAAAATGCACTAGTCTAAGAATAGGATAGAAAAATGACCAGAAGGGCAGAATACCCCAGGGTAACAAAGGGCTTACCAAACTATGGTAGAAAACGCCCTTTGGCTCAACTCAAGTGATTTTCTCCTTTTGTATCTTCCTTTTCTAAAGTCAATAGGAAGTCACAACCAGGTGATGGTAGGAATGTCTGTATTGTGACTTATGAAATATAATATAATGTCATCTTTCCAGTGCCAACCTTATGTTCCACTCGCTATGGAATAGCATTCATCATACATTTCTGCAATTTCACATTGAAGGCACAAAGTGTTATCTTGAACATTACCATGGTAACTATGGTCAACAGTAATCGATCCCAGATGAATGGCTCTGCTAAAAGACTCCCTGTTGACTTATTGGATGGCCTAAATGATACTGTAAAGAGTTTTCCTATGAGGGTAAGTGATGCAAGATTTCAGTTGTGCTCACATTTTTTTGCTGGGTTTTTTTTTTTGGCTATTTATATTGTTGGGGGTGCTAAGGTAATAGGTTTTAATTGGGAAAAATGTGATTTGTAAACAAGGGAAATATTGAAAGAGTCTTGCTTTATAAGTTTCCTGTAAGTGACTTACTCTGATATTCTGTTCCCTTAAGGTCTCAGAGTATGACTGGAGCCCTCAAATCCAGGGTATCCTCTTTGCTTCTGTCAACTACGGCATGATTCTGACACTGGCTCCCAGTGGATACCTGGCTGGAAGAGTAGGGACAAAGCGAGTGTTTGGAGTGTCTCTGTTTGTGTCCTCACTTCTCACGCTCTTCACTCCTCTAGCAGCTGACCTTGGACTAATCTTCCTCATTACAACTCGAATAGTCCAGGGCATAAGCCAGGTAGCCAGATAGTTTATATATATGGACCGTATATGAATTTCTACATGGCACAATTTCTATATTAAAAAAGATATTTTTATTTTAGGGGTCAGCATTTGGGGGACAATTTGCACTTTGGGAGAAATGGGGACCTCCGTGTGAGCGGAGCCGACTCTGCACCATTGCCTTATCAGGTAAAGACGTGATTGAAATAAGTATGCTGCAATCCAACATTTTTACACTGGTTTCTTTGACAATTTTTTTTTTGCATGATTCTTTGTCTTCTGTTCATTTTATTTATACACCGGGGAGATGGATTCTTGTTGTGTGACATGACACATGACATTCTGTTATTGACATGACATTCTGTTATTTCTCCCCAGGTGATCATTTGTGACAGGACTTTTTAAAAAAAATTATTATTATTTTTAAGGTTTATTTATTTATTCATACAAAACTGGGGTACAGGCCAGAGATGCGGAGGGTGACACCAGAGACAGAGTGTGGAGCAGAACAGTTAGATCCATGAAGTACACTGCTGAGGGGAGCAGCGGGAGGGTCAGGAGAGGTCTGCCACGCCATGTGGTCACCTCTGGGGCAGGCGGGAATCGAACTCATGCGGAAGTGGCTTTAGCTTCTTAGTGCTGTGCTTTTAACCCGCTGCGCCACCAGGGAGGGCCCCCAAAATTATTTTTTATGTAGTCAATCTGATCATTCCTTTATGGTTTCATAATTTTGACTCATAGTTGGAAAAGTTATAAAAGCATCTATCCACATTTTTCCTTGAACTTGAATGGTTATGTTTTTTCATATTTAAATTTCTGGCATATTGGTTTATAGTAGTATTGGGTTTGACATATGAATCCAACTTAACCTTTCAAATTACAATCAGCTGTATTGTAATTTGGTTTGTGATCATCAGTCTGGAGAGTGAGCTGGAGAAGGAAGTCTAGATCATATGGGGGAAGAATGAAAACAATGGGAAGAGTCTGACTAATAAATAGTTGGTTTGCCCAGGTGGGTACTGAGTATAAGAAGGATAACTTTCCAGGTCATTTACGGATATCAAACATGCCAGGGACTCTTCAAACCCATAAATAAGCTATTTTTTAGAAATGTTGAGGATGTCCTTGTTGTCAGAGAGATGAGGGGAAAGACAATATGTGGTGAAAGTTTAATTTGCTACAATCTTTTAGCAGGAGAGTTCAGTGGTATCTTACATTAAAAATATTATAGTCAGTGGGAGCACTATGGTAATATCACCAGAAGGGGATGCTATAATTTCAAATACAAACAATAAAACTACCTACGTATATAGTATATAAACATATACACGTATAAACACACATGTGTGTGTACACACATATATACGTACAACAGGAGTAAAATACAGAAAAAAATAGTCTTTGATCTAGCAAGTCTACTTCTGATATCATACTGTACAGAAATAAATTATGTTTATATTTAGAAAGGCTGATTGTCAATGTTCAGCCATATCAATAAAACTAGGTAGAATCTACAGTGCCATGGAAACATAAGATGACTTGTTAAATGAAAAATAGATGTCACAGAACTATAGGTATTATATGCTTGAGCTTATTTAAAAATAATTATAACATGTATATATAATTTGACATGTAGAATTTAATGTTCATTTGGAAACCTGGAAACTAAAATTCATAATAGTCTAGGTTGGGGGGAAAAAAGAAAAAAGAAAAATGCCCTGTTATATATGTTAGTACTCTGTAAAGCTGGAAATCAATAGTGTTATTAGTGAAGCTTTCTGTTCATATATTACAGAAATGCTTGTACAAAAAGATGAGTATATCTATAAATCTATATTATTTGTATGCAGAGAGGAAAAGGTATATAATTATTTGTCAAATGATAAATTGTTGCTAGTGGTTAACATTAGAGCAAAAAGTAAAACTGGCTTAGCAGGTCATGTGAGAGGAACTTTGTGAAAATTAGTTTTTAAAATAAACATAAAATTATCACAAAATAAGAGGCATATATCATATGACATGCAATTAAAAATTCAAATATCATGACAGGAAACATGACTGTCATCTGCAATGGGGAGCTAGGGATATAGCAGAGAAAGAGGTCTTAGGAGAACAGAGCAGCTAAGTCATAAATCCAAAGTTTCCACACTAACCTGCTCTTCTCTCTGGCTTGGCAATACAGCTCTGTGCCAGTCACCTATCATCTGTAGGTGTAAGAGGAAGTCCAGAGCTCCACTTACCTTCTCTTTCTTTGCAGGGATGCCACTGGGGATCTCCATTGCCATCCTTTTGGGTGGTGTCATCAGTCAAGCCCTAGGGTGGCCTTTTGCTTTCTACATCTTTGGTAGGTGTCCTATTTCCAGGTTGTCATATCCAGGGAGATTCTTTTGCAGGTCTTTCTTTGTGTAGTTTTCAGGAGGGAATGTGCAAAGAAAGAAAGGTCCTAGAAGGGCAAAATATTTTAACATTATGTTAGGGCACTACTGACTTATGCCATCAGGGAATTTGAAGGCCTTCTTACCTTGATACATTATTTTAAAAAAAGATTTATTTATTTATACATACAAGAACTGGGGTACAGGCCAGAAGTGTGGAGGGGGATGAGAGGGTTCACCAGAGACAGAGTGGGGAGCAGAGCAGGCAGATCTACTGAAATACATTGCTGAGGGGAGCAGTAGGTGGCTCAGGAGAGGTCTGCTGTGCCATGCGGGTCACCTCCTTGGCTGGGGATCGAACTCGTGCTACAGTGGCTGCAGATAGCTTGACAGTGCTGCATTTTAACCCACTGTGCTACCAGGGAGGGCCCCTTGATACATTATTAATGCCAAGAGGCTGTGCAAGCTTTGAAGGCAATCCAGGACAAACTCGCAGATCACTGATTTGTGAGAGATGGAAGAAAGAGGTGCAGAGAGGTCACTGCTGCTGTGGGTTTTGCCTCAGAATAATCACAGCAACAAGGGGTCTTTGGTAAAGTTCCATTTGCCTAAAGAGGAGGAAACACGAAGCATTTTTACTTATTAAAAAAATTTGCCGAACCCAACATTTGCTTAAGTCTTCCATTCAACTGTTAGAAATGAAGAAATAGTGGTGTCTTTAGGCTTTTCTTTATATATTGTCATGTTGTTTATAAATTGTGATAGTTTCATTCTTTCCCAACTTGGGTTCCTTTTATGCCCTTTTCTGATGTAATTGCACCAGCTAGTACTTTCAATACTACACTAGTGGTAGTGAAAGTGGTACTTTCACTAGTGGTAGTGAAAGTCTTATACTAATCTTAGAGGAAAAGATTTCTTTTTGCTCACCAGTGTGATGCTACCTGTGTGCTTGTCACATGCAGACTTTATTACGTTGAGATCTGTTCTTGAATCCCCATTTCATTGAGGGTTGTTAATCACAAAGGAATACAGAATCTTGGAAATTGCCCTCTTTGCATCTCTTATTGATATGGTGTGTTACAACGATTGATCTGTATATGTGGAACCATCCTTGCAACCCTGGAATGAATCCCATTTGGTCATGCTGTATGATACTTTAAATGTACCATTGATTTGGTTTGTTAAGATTTTCTTGATGATTTTTGTATCTGAGTTCATCAGGGATATTGGTATGTAGTTTTCTTTTTTGTGATATCCTTATTTACTTTTGGGATCAGTGAAACTCTTTACCATATATTCTTTACTAGGTTTCATGTTCCACTTTCAAACCTCTCACCAGTTTGGATACATTTGTTTACAGCCTCTTCTCCATTATAGATAGTGAGGTCCTTGAAGGTAAAGGCAGAGTCATTTTGGGATCCCTGGATTCTCCAGCACACTGTAGGGTCTGAATAAATCTTTGCTGAATCAAACTCATTAAATATGGCTTAATCCTTTCTGTGTCTGTCAGGTAGTGTTTACTAGTAACTGTAAACTGGTATTCTCACTTGCTTCAGTGGGACATTAAATAATTTTTTATTGATGTAACATTGCATCATCACATTATGTAAGTTTCAGGCATCTATCCTTAAAAATCAACATCTGGATACACTACATAGAGTAGTTCACCTCCAAAAGTTCAAATCTATCCTTCTCCATATAATTGATCCCTTTCACACAATTTACTCAGTCCATGTCTCCTCTTCTGGTAATCATTACTATGATCTTATAGTTCACACTATAAACACTGTAGTATATTTTTGTTTTATTTAGTTTATTCATCTTTTTTTGTTTTTTATGTACCACATATGAGTGATTGGATAAAGAAGATGTGACATATATATTCACAGTGGAATACTACTCAGCCATAAAAAGATGAAATCCTGCCATCTACAACTTGGATGGACCTACAGGGTATTATGCTTAGTAAGATAAGTAGAAGGAGAAAGACAAACATAGTGTGACTTCACTCATATGTTGTGGGATGTATTGATTTTCTTCTTAACCTAATTTATTTAACACTCCTGATTCCTACAGCTTAACAGGCTCCAAATATACTATGATGTATTTTCTTGTCAGAATTACATCTGTCTGCATTGACGGCCCTTATAGCTTTTATTCACACAGCTCCCTCTGCCTGAGGGAATGAAAATGCTCCTGCTTCTCCATTAATATCCTGTATCTTTTCTAATTCACCCTCCTCTGAAGACTTTTTCTTTTCCTTCGTCATTCTAAATTATCTTTTTCTCTATGTTCTCAAGTGGCTTATTCATAATTCACTCACCATCTAAGTTGTGTTATACTTAGTATGATGTAGTGCACGACCATCTCCTCCAGTAGATGGAAGCCTCTATTGTGACAGTGATGGATCTTATAGTCTTCATTGCCCCTGAGTAGTGCTAGACAGGCAGAAGTGTAACTTAGGGACCCACTACTTTCCACTTGTATTTGAGGGGTGGTATAATCTTGTTGGACTGAGCTCTTACCCTGTAGAGTCTGTGCTAACTCAGGATAATCCATGTCAGAATTGAGCTAACTTGTAGGATACCATGTTGGTGTCCACAGAAAACAGAATTAATTGCTTTGCATGAAAAATGCACACATTTGGTATCAAAAGTGTCGCCAGCAGACAAAGAACTTTCCTTTAGTAATATCTAAACGGTTGAGAGACCAAATATTGTCCAACCCCAGGACCTGTCATTTCCACAAACACAAATGGTAAATATAAAGGAGTGGGCTCTGGAAATCTGTACTATTAATGTGACCTTTTTTTTTTTTTAAATGAGTAAGGACATTCACTAGACAATGTCATAATATTAAAGAAATTCACAGGACAAGAAGAATTCAACTCAGTTGCTAAATCTACTTTCTTCTCGCAGGAAGCCTTGGTTGCGTGTGCTGCATTCTCTGGTTTGTTCTTGTTTATGATGACCCTGCATCTCACCCATGGATAAGTGTCACAGAAAAAGAATATATCAGATCCTCCATGACACAACAGGTACAAGGAGGAATAACTCTCTCCACCTCCCTTCTACCAACATTTAGATTTCTCAGGAAGACTAAGAAATATGTGCACATGTCTAGATTTTACTGTTCTGACCAGTAAACTTGTTTTCAGGTCAGCTTTTCTAAACCATGTCTTCCTGTGAAAGCCATACTCAGATCTCTACCTTTTTGGTCTATGTGCCTTTGTGGTTTCAGCCATCAATGGTTTGTTAACACATTGGTGGCATACACTCCAACTTACATCAGCTCCGTGTTCAATGTTAACATCAGAGAGGTGAGTATATTCCCTCTATCCCTTTCTCCCATGGGCATGACTTACCCATTGCTGTTCACTTCACAAATCATCTCATCTAGGAAAAATTATTTTTTTCTTACCAAGAAATAATCAAATATGTAGCATGCATGTTATGGTTTTTCTGAAGGTATGACTGAAGAGACTACTGACTTTCTTAAGTCAGTATGATTTCAGGATCATCAGAATAATTATCATTGATCTAGCAATAAAGTCTCACTGCTTTTGTTATGACGGTTTGCTCAATTCCCCCCCTCCCCTCCTAAGAATGGATTCCTGTCAGCCCTTCCTTTTCTTGCTGCCTGGGTCGTTGGTGTCCTGGGAGGCCAACTGACAGATTTCCTTCTGACCAAGAATTTTAGGCTTGTTACAGTGAGGAAACTTGCCACAGTTCTAGGTAAGAACAGGCCCAAAGGGTCAGATAATTCACAAAGAATTCAACAGTGATGGTGTATCTCATGGTTTCTGTTTCTGTCCTTTTTAAGGAACCTTCCCCCCGTCAGCATTCCTTGTGGGCCTGCCCTACCTCACCTCCAGCTACATCACGTCAATAGCCCTTCTGACAATTGCTTGTGGACTATGTCCGTTTTGTCAGTCAGGGATCTATATCAATGCCTTAGATATCGCTCCAAGGTAGGACTATAAGCTCCACTCTTTTCACATTTTCTGAAAAAAGATTTAGACCTGTAGCATTTTGGGAACCCCACGGTTATTTTTCAAAATTATTTGCCCCCCAAAAAAAAATTTGCGCCAAGGCCACATTAATCTGTGGCCATTTTTTAAAAAAAAAAAGATTTATTTATTATGCATACAGAACTGGGGTAGAGGCCAGAGGTGGTGAGAGGATTCACCAGAGACAGAGTGGGGAGCAGAACAGGCAGATCGATGAAGTACACTGCTGAGGGGAGCAGCGGGTGGGCCAGGAGGGGTCTGCCACACCATGTGGTCACTTTCGGGTCAGATGGGAATAGAACTCATGCGGAAGTGGCTTTAGCTTCTCAGTGCTTTAACCCACTGTGCCACCAGGGAGGGCCCCAATCTGTGGCCATTTTTAAGGTGTGTGTGGGGGGAGGGGTAGTTTGATATGTCTTAGGGCTTCTTGTTGAATATATGCAGGGCAAATCCTTTGAACTGTAACTATGTGATGCACTCACACATGGAGCACAGGCTGAAGGATCCTGTCAGGCATCTCTGGATCTAGCCTTGGTTTTTCCTGTCATCCACAGACATGCCAGTTTCCTCATGGGAGCCTCAAGGGGATTTGCACAAGCAGCAGCTATCCTGTCACCCACTGTCTGTGGATTTATCCTCACTCAGGTAGGGTTTTTTGGTAAAGAAGGACTCTTAAAATACATTTGCTAATCCATACATAAAGGTAATCGAAAAAGATATTCACATTTTGGAAAATAAAATTAAATGGTGGATCTGGAGAGGTTAATATAGAAAATATTGAATTAGAATTTTTAATAAATAATGTTTTGTTAAACTAAATAAAACCTTTTGTCATATATCCCCTCTACCCCCCCACCCCCCCCCGCCACAAATTCAGCGGTGGGTCACTCTGTCAGGAAGATCATTCTGGCAATATAGACAACTAATTTCAGATCTCAATATTTACTCATTCTGAAGACAGAACAAACTCATTCATTCTTTAGTTCATTAACACCAGTGATCCTTTGGAAATACACATTTTTTGAAACTGAAATCACACAGTGACACAGATATTGTCAAAATGACAATTCTGTGCATAGCTGCACAAATTTGTCCATTGTCAAAATGACAATTCCGTGCATAGAAGCACAAGCTTCTGAAATTTTCATTTGCATGGTCCGAAACAATGAGAAAATGAGAGACAAGTTAAATTATTGGTGTATGTGTCTATCTATCTATCTATCTATCTATCTATCTATCTATCTATCTATCTATCTATCTATCTATCTATCTATCTATCATCTATCTGTCATCTATCTATGATACACACAGAGGCATTATTACAGTAATTTCATATGCAATAAACTCATCTAATTATTGATTCTTACACCAGTTATAAGAGTAGCATATTTTTATTTCTCATTTTCTCATGACTAATTTGAAAGTCTTCCCAAAAGAGAACATAAAGTCACAATTCTTCTAACTTTGACTTGTCTAACTCCAAAGCCCAGAATCTTTTCACCACCTTGTTGCAATCCAAAGAGAATCTTAAAAGCATTCTTAAAGTATTCCATGTAGTCAACATTTGTACAGAGAGAAAATGTACATATGGCAAAATGATAAATGCAATTCTGTAGGTGAATTGCTAAGGTCTCTAAATTCCTTTTATCAGGACTAGTCAAAATACATTTTGAAATTCTTGTTTACAACTATCAAGTCACTTTCAGGAAATTAATTTCTAAAGAGAAACTCACTGGTGCTTTTTGTCTTATAAATTATTAATGTGCATTTCATACAGAAAAAGATGAAAGAGGGTGACATTTATATGAAATTTTGTGTCCCCAGGACCTTGAATATGGATGGAAGAATGTCTTCTTGTTGGCATTTGCCATTAACCTAGCAGGACTAATCTTCTACCTCATATTTGGAAAAGCAGATGTCCAAGACTGGGCTAAAGAGAGGAAACTGACTCGTTTATAAAGGTAAAGGATAATGATTTCATCTACATTATAATAACAGAAGTATCACTTAAAGTTTTCTATTCTATGTCATTTTTCTTTCTTAGTTATTCCAGCTTGGATGGCAAAGTCTTTAGGTACTTTATTTCATAAATGGAATGGCTTTGGTGACAATCTGGTCCCCATCGTATTCACATTTCTTTTTGAGGAAAAAAATGAGATGAACAAAAACCCAAATGAAATGCTGTCTGAGAACAACATTTCTGTCTTCATAAATTAGCAAAAGACCTAAAGTTGCTGCTGAATGGGAGCGAGTAGGCTAGTTTCACAGTTTCTGGAAATAGAAAACACATTAGAATCTCTTACTCCAAGATGGTAGCTCACTAGAGAAATCATTTTTCCTTTTTTCTGACATGATTATAAAATTGTATGTGTTGGTCTAGATATTGGCCAAGTGGCCTTTCCATGTGTGCTCTACTCTTCAGCTGGCTCAGGCCCTCAGATGCTGACCTGCAAGGTTTGCAGCCCACACTCTTGTCTTTAAGCTTCTACTGGGTTTTCAATGGAAACAAGACAACAAGGCCAAGGAGCCTCTTTGCATGTGGCTAATCCTTTCATTTCCAGATCCCAGCAAGCAGCCTTCTCTACACCTTCTGGCAGCATCTCTCTGCCCTATGCCTTCAGGGAATTTTTTGATTTTATGTTGCTAGCTCTGGGACTCTGCAGAATCTCTTGTAGTTTCCTGGCAATCTTCTGAACTTGTGTAAATAGTCTCATTTAAGAATGTCCTCAAATTAGCCCTCCATGGTGGCGCAGCGGGTTAAAGCACAGCACTGAGAATCTAAAGCCACTTCCGCATGAGTTCAATTCCCGCCTGCCCCGGAGGTGACCACATGGCGTGGCAGACCTCTCCTGACCCGCCCGCTGCTCCCCTCAGCAGTGTACTTCGTCGATCTGCCTGTTCTGCTCCCCACTCTGTCTCTGGTGAATTCTCTCACCCTCTGCATCTCTGGCCTGTACCCCCTCAGTTCTGTATGAATAAATAAATCTTTAAAAAAAAAAAAGAATGTCTTCAAATTACCCAGTGTGAATAGTCTTCCATATTTATCCTTCTAGAATATGGTAACTCATTCAGAGTTTCAACCACATATAAACTTCAAAACATGAAATAGGCCACCAGTATTTTTGTAAAGTAATTCTTCATATGTGTCAGGTCAGACCATGTTGAGATGGTTAGTAACACAGTCTAGGTTGCTCCCTGTGGCAACCTCTATGGGGTAGAAAAGGAGTCACAATCAAAAGTAATTTCCTATAGAGACAGTAGGATGGACATAGGTCTGAGTTAAACATCAGTCCAGGATCTAGGTCAAATATAAATAAACACAACAACAACTACTGACATCTTGCTATATCTTGAATCTAGACATCTGGGAGTCAAGTAACTATTCTCAATTCTAATGCCGGTGACAAATGTAACAGTCACTGTCTTATCTACAGTAGCAGGGGGACATGAGGGTGTGGGAATAGCCTGAGTGTGGGGCACCAAATGAAGGGTCCTGAGCCCAGTCAGAAGAGCACAGGTGAGTCTACCTTCAGCAAGTAATTCCTGAGATAAATGTTAAATGGGCATTGTTACAGCAAAGTTTCCCACTCTGGAGCCCAACATGCCCAAAAGCATGAAAACAAGAAATAAGGTGGATTCTGAAATGAATCACTTGCCTTGATGGCCAATTAGGAAAGTACAATTTATGAGGCTGGGAAGTGGGCATGTCCATGACACGAAGGCCTTAGATGCCTCTCATACAAGCAATAGTGCATAGGCAGATTTTTCACTCTCTAGATGAAGCACTCTGGCCCAATTCCAGAATGCTCGTGAAACTACCATCTGTGCAGTGGTCCACATGATGTGGGTGAGGCCTGACATAGTTACAGCTGACTTGAAGAGAAGAGGAGAGACTTGAAAGATGTTTGGGAAGTAGAATTGAATGGAAAAATCATTGCTACTGGTTAGGAAAGAGTACTTAAGTGTGCTGTGTCTCTAACCTAAGATTGTGGATAGAGTGGTCTGAAAACCAAGCCAAAGAAGGAAGGAAGTGTAGTCTTTTCAGGGCAAAGATGAGTTGATTTAAAGTCCTGTATTAGTGGCAATAATGGGATAATTACATGGATGTGGGAATCAATTCCCTGGGGCTCCTATAATGAAATATCACAAACAGGGTGACTTTAATAATGATAACTTATTGTCTCAGAGCTCAAGAAGCATAAAATTCAAATTTGTGCAGAGTTGACTCCTTGTCCAATGCTATGAGGGAACATCTATTCTATACTTTTCTGTTGGAAGCCTTGATTTGTAAGTGGTTTTAGCCCTAGGTTTTCATGTTATCTTCCCTTTGTACATGTCTGTCTCTGTGTCAAAATTTTCCCTTTCATAAGGATGCTGGTTACATTGGGTGAAGGTCCACTTTAATGACCTCATTTTTTTTTTTTAAAGATTTATTTATTCATTCATACAGAACTGGGGTACAGGCCAGAGGCTCAGGGGTGGTGACAGGCTTCACCAGAGACGCATCCCTGCCTGTCCCTCGGCCCTCTTTCTCTCT